CCCTCCACCCCGCTCCCGCCCCTCCATCCTGAGGCCTGACTCCCACACAGCTTTGGGACCCCAGGGGTTAGGGATCCTGGCTCCTGTGGAGCCAGGCTTGTGTGATGTTGTACGTCTCTGCAGCTTCTATTCGGCCTGTGTGGTGCTGGGGCTGCAGTTCCTCCATGAACACAAGATTGTCTACAGGTGTGTACATGAGCGCATGCTCTGCCCAGAGACTGGACATGCTAAGCTCTGTGTGGAGCCCCAGTCCCCACTGCCAATCATCCCTCTTTACATCCCCTGACACGCCCATTCCCCAGGGACCTGAAGTTGGACAATTTGCTCCTGGATACTGAGGGCTACGTCAAGATCGCAGACTTTGGCCTCTGCAAGGAGGGTGAGGGGCTGCAATCCCGGGATAAGAGGACTAGGGGTGGGCTACCTTCTGGTGAGGCTGTACGTAGGTGCTCAGGTGACATTTTCTTCTCGGTGGGCTTTGTCTGCAGGCACCTTCTCTCCCTAACAGCTTCAGGGTAGTTTCCCAAGTGTAGTCGCCTCCCCACCCGGGTCACTCCCACCCGGGTCACTCCCACCCGGGTCACTGATGGGGGTAGGGCCGTCTCACGCTCTACTCCCCCGACCGACCGACCACTAGTGGCTCACATGGCTTTGTGCTCCACTCCACCCAGGGATGGGCTATGGAGACCGGACCAGCACATTCTGTGGAACCCCAGAGTTCCTGGCGCCGGAGGTTCTGACAGACACGTCCTACACTAGAGCGGTGGACTGGTGGGGCCTGGGCGTGTTGCTCTATGAGATGCTGGTTGGCGAGGTGAGGCCCAGGCTGCCTTTTGTTTCTGTAGAAGGCGTGCGTGTGTCCCGGCCTGGGAGGGGAATCTGCCCCTCTGTGTCAGCTTCGCCTCTGCGATCTGTTTCTGTAACTGAAATGGGACACTTACCCCCTGCAAGCCAGCTCTGGTGCAAGGGTGCACCCCAGGGTAGGCCCTTTGTTAGCGCCGGGTGAGCTGGATTGGCTAAAAGTGGGATCTTATTCAACCTGGCTCTCTGCCCTCCAGTCTCCGTTTCCCGGGGACGACGAGGAGGAGGTCTTTGACAGCATTGTCAATGACGAGGTCCGTTATCCCCGCTTCCTGTCGGCAGAGGCCATTGGCATCATGAGAAGGGTAAGCACACCCCCACCTCCCCACCACCAAGTACAAGGTGGGCAGGAAAGGGGCTTGAGGGACGGGAATCGGATACACATTGACATGTGCGTCGTCCCACAGCTGCTGCGGAGGAACCCAGAGAGGAGGTTGGGATCCACTGAGCGAGACGCAGAAGATGTGAAAAAACAGCCTTTTTTCAGGGTGAGCAGACTCCCTCCCCACCCTGTCAGTCACCCCAAGGACCTGGATGTTTCTCCCAGTTCATCCCCACCCCAAATCTAGTTGCTCCATCTCAAGAGTTTTGTTGCTCCTCCCCGCCCCCCATCTGCCATGATTCCTCTCAGACGTTAGCTCCTTTTGTTTGCACCCCTCATTACCCCCACCCCTCACTCCCTCCGCTTCTCCATGCCCAGGGCATTCCAGGGCTATCCTGAGCTACCGCAGACTCCCTGGCTGGTCTGAGCTTCAGTCCTTCTGCACCCTGTCTGTTTCTTGCTGCTCTCCAGACTCCCCTCAGCCTCCATCATGACTCTGTCCCCCTCTCCACAGACTCTGGGCTGGGACGTCCTGCTGGCTCGTCGCCTGCCCCCACCCTTCGTGCCTACACTTTCGGGGCGCACAGATGTCAGCAACTTCGATGAGGAGTTCACTGGGGAGTCGCCCACGCTGAGCCCACCCCGGGATGCCCGGCCCCTCACAGCTGCCGAGCAGGCGGCCTTCCGGGATTTCGACTTTGTGGCAGGAGGCTACTAACCCCAAGCCCCTGCCTTGCCCAAGAGTTCTTGGTTTTTAAAAAGGCCTTTGGGGTTTACCCAATACATGCATTTTCAGCCTCTGTGTGCAGTCTGGGGTAGGGTGTGCCTGGAGCAGGTGACGAGGCAGGCCGACTCAGGGACAGAACTGTGGTGAGGCTCATTTGAAAGGTCGAGCTGGGAACATGCATTAGTGGGAAGCAGGACAGGACTCAGGGCTGTGTTGCAGAGCCTTGGGGCTGTAAGGCTGTAGTGGTACAGGGTGTGGAGACTGTTAGGACAGTTAGGGACCAAGATGAGCAGAATGGTTGCAAGAGTCTATTGTGGCGGCAGCAGAGACGGGAAGTGAATCCAAAACGTTACTGCCTTTATGGGCAGCTCCAATCTCAGCACTAAGGACTCAGCATTGTGCGCATGCTATTGGAGCTGCTGACCTGGGGACCCATCCCACCTCTGATATTTGGAACGTCCTGTGTGTCTGCGCCATCGCGTGGCCAACGTTAGAATTGTACTCGTCTGGGTGGAGCCTCTTGCACCAATGTGCTGTCAGTGTGTGCTGCCGCCCCACAGGACGCATCGCCCATGGCACGCTGTGTTTGAGGCTCCCTATACCCTTGAGGCCTGCGCAGTGGTTTGGCTTAGCTTCTGGGCACGTTCAGAGGTGGCTGAAGCCACTGTGCCTGGAGCTACGCAGTGAACTGGCTTCCCAGGCACTCTTGGTTAGGCCCAGCTCCGTTGGGCCATCCTTAGCACCAGCCCTCAGGGGTAGGAGGCGAAGCAGCTGGCGCAGCACGGCCTGGCGCAGCAGGATGTACACCCATGGGTCCAGGATCTGGTTCCACGACGCGAGGCGCACAGCCAGAAAGAGCGGCCGCTGCAGGGAGCTAGAATTCCAGCCCCCGACGGCCAACACCACCAACACCTGCGAGAAAAGCAGGTGTGAGCAGTGGAGCCCGTGTGAGAGGAGGGGTGGGGTGTAAGGTTAGGATACCGGGGTGGGCTATGCAGGGCAAATACTGTGTGGGAAGGAGAGCGACTAGGCAGAGATCGTCAGTGAGTGCGGAGTCTGGCTAGAGAAGCCCCATTATACCAGCACACAGGACAGAAGAAAGGTCAAAAAGCTGGGGAGGAAGAAGGCTAGGAAGGAAGGAAGGAAGTGGAAGGACGAATTGGACAGGCTTGAGTGGGTGGGAGTAAGTTACAGCGATACAGAGGGCAAAGGTAGAGCCCGGGCTAGCAGAGGGAAAAGACAAACGGTTGGCTTTTTGTGCTGGCAGGGTCTTAAGGGGGCGGAGCCCAGGAGGGGGCAGGAAGGAGTGTGGCTTGAGGAGCGGTTGCGCCCCTCACCAGCAGAGGGCTCCAGCAGATGCACGACACCACCATGATGCCCACGAGCTGGCCCACCATCTCCACGTCGTGTGCGCGAACCCTGCGCGCCGAGCTGCCGCCCCGGGAGCTGCGGAGGGTGGCGGAGGCTGAAGCGATGGAAGAGGCAGACGAGGTGGAGGCCAAGCGGGGTCCACGGGACCCCCAGCGCCGGCGATCATCGGGACCTGTGGTCTCGCGGAGACGTCGAGAGCGGCGACGCCTCCAGCGGGCTCGCAGGAGCGCCAGGCCGCTGAGTGTATTGCACACAAGTGCCGCGAGGAGCGCGGCCAGGCCGAGGCCGGCGAAGAGGCCGGCGAGCAATGCCTGGCGCCAACCTCCAGGAGGCCCAAGGCTAATGAAACACCAGGTGCCAGGGTACTGTAGCTCGTAGCGACCCACATGTGCTAGCGGCAGCAGCGCCACAGCCAAAGCCATGGCGGCCAGCGTGGCCAGTGCCAGGCGTGCGTGGGCCACCGACACGCGCGCCGCGTGGAGCAGCGGCTGTGTGACACCCACGCAGCGCTCCACGGCCATGCCGCAGCCAAGCAAAAGTGGGCACAGGCCGAAGAAGACCATGCAGCCTCCCAAGAAATGACAGGCCCCGCCAGCAGGTGAACGTCCCGCAGCATACAGGCGAAGCACCAGCGCGCCCGGGATCACATGGCCTGCCAGGTCGATGGCCAGCAGGCTGGCAACGAACAACAAAAAGGTGGCAGCTGAGTGGCGGCGCCGCAGACGACCTGCAGCTTGTGCCAGCAGCGCCAGCGCCAGCACGTTGGACACTGCACCCAGGGTCATGGAGAAGATAGGCAGCGCTGGTGATGTGCCGGAATCGCCTACTGGTAGCACCGCAGACGTGTTGGGGACCCTGGGTGTTGCACACGTTGCCTCGTCCACTAGGCTCGCGTTAAGCCCGCAGGGGCTCATATCAGTGGCCAAGAGGGCTAAGTAGATAAGAGGAGGGTGCAGTGAGGCTAGTGTCCCACCACCCATCACCAGGATCCATGTAACAATGTGGCCTCTGTGCCCAGGGCACCTCCACAGGACCCTGGCTGCTCCATTTCAGATCCCACTTCACCTTTCACAGCTCCATCTCTTGTGCCTGACCTCACTGCCCCGACATCGACAGACAGACAGACGTGGCAGAGGTCCTCAGTGTCTGTCCTTGTCTCCACCCCCCACCTCCTAGCACATCAGATTCCTGGTCCATGGCCCCATGGAATAGATCCTGACCCACTTTTGATCCCAACTCCAACCCTCACCGTGTCTGCCACCCCTTCCTTTTTTTGTAAGTCTCCTTGGCTGGCCCCAGAACTGGCCGTGTAGACTATGCTGGCGTTAAACTTAAAGCGATTCCCCCTACCTATGCCTCCTGTGTCCTGGGATTAAAGGTTCACACCACCATAACCAGCTGTTGGTCACCTTTTAATCCTACCCTTGATGTCCCATGTCCCAACAGCTCCATTACTATAGCCCGTCTTTTCCAATGTCCCTGCCTCCAGAGACCACTGTTGGTCTCCAGTTTCATCTCTCCCCCAACAAGCCATCTCCGTACTTAAAGACTAATTTCTGTGCCCCAAGGTTGCTATCCCTGTAGTGCATCCTCTTGCCTCCATGGTCTGTCCTCAGACCCCTGCTTCCATGGACCTATCTCTGATCTCTTCGGTGCTCTTGGACTCCAAGGACCCACCTCTCTCCCCAGAGTCCCATGTCTGTTGCCAGAGTTACACCTGTCTCCATGGCAATCTCCGCAGTATGTCATTGCCTCATTCAGATGCCCACCCCATACTCCTACGTGAACCAGCCTCTGGCTCGTTCTTCGTTTTCTAGTTGAGAGGGCTAAAGCAGACCTAAGGGATAGGCAGCCAGCCTTGGGCTGAGAGCCATGAACACAGTGAGCCCAGGATGGCCATAGCCCATCTTTAATGCTTTCCTTTTCCCTGCCTGTGGACCCTCAAGTCCCAACTCCTTACCCAGTGCTGCTCAGGATGCAGGGTCCCCATGGCCCGGAACTAGGATCCTGCTGCCCGCGCCAGCTGCTCCCTGGCTCCCGGCAGGCCGCTCCCTCTTCCTGGGGCGGCTCCTCGGCTCTGTGCCGCCTCCACCCGCACCCCACTGGCCTCCAGGGCCGCTCCACCCTATGCATGTCTGCCCGCTAGGGCTGGGAGCCTTGAGTGGGAGAAACCTCTGCTGCTGGCAATGGTCAGGGCCACTTGGGATCAGCTTCTTCCTGCCAGGGACTGAGGTTCTCTGAATTGGTCTGGTGTCTGTGACCCCCTCCTCTCATCAGGGCAGAAGCAAACCCCCACACCCTCACCCGGGCCTCTTGCCTGCCTCATTAATAAAGTGGATAAAATCTAAACACTGGAAAATGTGAGCATCGCCTGGGGCAGGCTGGGAGGTCTACGCACTCTCATGGGGGTGGGGTGCTGTCCCCGTTGGGCTTGAGGATTTTGGAGCTGGCTGTGTGACGGGACCTGGCAATGTTGCCTGCCCTTAAGCCTTTGTGGATGTCACAGTGGGGGCGGAGGTGAGCAACCCAGACCAGGGCAACAGGGAGTCATCCTAGAAGAAAGAGAGAGGGCTGATCTGCTCTGAGGAGCCAGGCTAGCATCTGCACCCTGTCTTAAGGTGGAGTAGGCAGTTCTTAGGGCACCTGAGCCACATCCTGCACCCACAGCTACAGCCTCACTTCACGTCTTGAGAAGAGGAACATGCAGTCACTGTCAGGTCAGTCATGAGGGCAAGTAAACACTGGATAGCTCCCACCAATGCTGACTTTAATATCCACTCCTTTAATGTTCCCAAATACCGACCCCTTGAAACTGATGCTCGCTCACACCTTAGCATAGGGTGTAAATCTCACTTGGCATTGTAAGTCTATTGCAGTCCTGGAGCACACTTCCTGGAGATATTCCCCCAAACCAATGCCCATGGGCACCCAGACCTTGTCCCACCTGAGCCACATAATCACGTCTCTAGACACTCTTTAAGACCTAGCTGTTTACCCTGACCCCCAAATAAGGATACACCTGAGACCTATGTACACATTGGGCACCCCACAGCTCCCTGAAACTCAGAGGACCCAATGCTTACCCATAATTGGTCACAACCCTGGTTCAGCGTGGTTACCAACCACCCACTACTCATAGTTCCACTCAACAAAGCCACACATTCCCAGGGGCTCCCATCAGACTTGCAGGACCCCAAAGGAGGACTTGAGGCATAACTCAGTGATAGAGCGCATTCCTAGCACGTATGAGGCCATGGGTTCCACCGTAAGTACTGAAAAACGACCTCAGTGATCAGGGAACGCAAGTCATCCCGACAGAGGCTGTCCATAGGGCTCATGCACATAAATGTCTGGTATCCAGAGCACTCATCTCCTGCCTGGAATCAGGGACCAGGCCTGCTCAGCCTTCCTGCAGTGAGTCTCCGCTGCGCTCACCCCCAAACATTCCTCCTGGGCGCTGGAGAGGGACCTCTGGCCTGGCTTCTCTTGCTCTAACTGCCTCCGTTCTCTCCAGGTCTGGCCAGGGTCCCACCCCACCCTTTCCTTGATCTCCCTAAATCCTAGGATGAAATGGACTGTCAAAACAAGCTTGGCAGGTTTATATCCCTGTGAAGCATTGTGCCATGGATGCCTGTGCCCAAAGTACAACCAGCCTCAACCAGGGTACCGCAATAGGTACTACACGGAGGCGCTGACTGTGCCTCCTCGTACGAGAGGGGCATGTGAGGCCTTGGTGAGTGGGGAACCAGGTCTGAACCTCAAGTAAGCCAGAATCTCCACCACTGCCTGGAAGCTAGATGGCCTCGAGCCAGGGGGAGGGGGCAGTGGGCCGGCCAACTCCTAATTCAATTTGGATCCAGGAGATAGATTTCAGCTGCTGCATTCTTTCCCTGGCCACCCCTCCTATCCCAAAGCCAAACAGCTCCCAGAGGAGTCTCTACATCCAGAGTGAGGGTACAGGGCCACCGCCTTGCTCACCCCTCCTCTGGCATTGGCTAAGGGAGATGCCGAAGGACCAGAGTTCATAGCAGTGTCCACTCAATGGAAGGTAACAGAACCCAACTTAGAGGACTCCTCTCAGGTGGGAGATGCCAAACGGGATGGTTTTATTGCCTTTACTAGGGGGGCTGTGCCCCCTTTCTACATTTCTGGTGTCAAGAAAGTTGGGAGAGTTAGGCGTGGTGGTGCACACCTTTAATCCCAGCACTGGCAATGTAGATGCAGGCAGATCTCTGTGAGCTGGAGGTTAGCCTGATCTACATAGTGAGTTCCAGGACAGCCAGGGCTACATAGTGAGATTTTGTCTTGAAAAAAACAAAGCAAAAAAGTAAAGTAGGGAAGTCATGACCCCAAACAGAACTGAGGTCCAGGGAGACAGAGGAGCAGTTTGCCAGCCGACGGTGGAAAGTGTCAGGGACAGAGGTGGCTGCCCAGTGCTGGTCCCTCCCCACGCGCTTACTCTACTGAGGTAGGTGGGGACCCGGCAGGGGTTGGCCGGGGACCCTAACCAGGCTGGGCACCGTGGTGACAGAGTGGGTCAGGGCCACTTCTACCCCGTGCCATCCCCAGGCTGCTGCGTTACGTGCCTAAGCTGGATGCTCAGGTCGTGGCTGTGGCACCCCTTCTGGAGGCCCCAGCCAGGCCACGCCCACGTTATCTCAAGGTCCAGGTCATTTCCAGTCTTAGTAGCGGCCAACCTTGGCATCCCCGATGGCTCCCCAGACGTCAAAGACGAATTCGTCTGGGAATGCAAAGTCACCAAGCCGTTCATCCAGAGCCTCTGCCAGTTCATCTGGGTTCCTCTTGTCCTTTCCCAGCTCCACCATGGTGGCAGCTGTCAGGGAGGAGAAAGATGGAGACACAGACGGTATGAGGGACGAAGGGTGCCACTTCACCTCAGCCTGGGTGAGCCCTGAAGCCTGTTCCTACCTCCCAGGCATCGGGGGCCCCACTCACCGAGTTCTGTGTCTCTGATCCCCATGTAGCTCTCTAGCAGGTCATCCACTTTCTCAATGGCCTTTTCCTCAAAGGCCGATGGCTGTGGAGGCGGGGACAAGACAGCTGTACAGCAGTGTCAACAGAACTGCTGTGAGGCACAGCGAACGTCTACAGTGCTGGGCACAGTACCCAGCCCCATGCAGGCCAGGCAACAGCTCTGCCAACGAGCTGCACCCCAGCTGTGTTCTACGTTTACTGACTGTATGTGCAGCAGTGTTTTGCCTGCATGCATGCATGTGTACTATGTGTGTGTCCATGGAGGTCAGAAGAGGACACTGGATGCCCTGGAGCTGGAGTTAATGGGTGGTTGTGAGCCACCTACTATGGGTGCTGGGAACTGAACCTGGGTCCTCTGCAAGAGCAACATGTGCTCTAAACTGCTAAGCCATCTTCCCAGTCCCAACATTCAGATATTACTATTCTTATTTTGAGACATTTTCTACATTGCTCAAACTGGCTTCGAACACTAAACCCTCCTGGCTCGGCTTCCCAGGTCTCTAGGATTACAGGTGCCATGCCCACGCTGGGCCGGCCGGCTTCCAAACATTTTCCTTTTGGTGACAAGCTCTTGTGGTTTTTGTCTGTGTTACCAATGTCCCCTCTGATAAGGGGTACTAAGACTTCTATTTTACAGGCAGGAAGACCAAGTCTCACTTGTCCACGGAAGGTCCCAAAGCTGGGAGGAGGAGACCTAAGCAGGTGTCCAGAGACCTTCAGGTAATGGGAACACTGTCACTGGCCAAAGGTGGCCCACTTACCAGATCCTCCACTGTGGCAGGGCCCCGGGATCGCAGCCTGAGGGTCCCTCGGCCAGTGCCCAGTTGTGGGCCCGAGCCAGGGTGGCCACCCGCTGAACGCTGGCTGATCATATCTACGGGAATTTCAGCAGTCAGTAGAGCACAGGGCAGCTAGGCTTACACAGCCCCTCTCACCATATCCGAGTTCTGCCAGATTCCAGGACAGGACTTGGCATGAATGGAGAGGGCAGCGGGGGTCAAGCATAAAGAAGCGAGAGAAGAGAATCAAGGGCAGCTTCTACTTCTACTTGAAGGGGCAAGAGCTGGGAAGGGGTGGGTACAACTGCTGGGTCCCAGATCAGTCCTATCTACCCACACCAGGGGCGCCTCAGGCCAATTCCTTAGAGTTAGTGAAGCCAGGTAGAAACGGGGGCAGGACATGGGAGTTCCACAGGGCAGCCAAGCCTCACTTCTCCAGGCTGAGGGGGCTGGCCAGGGTTGGGGGCACTTGGCTGGGCTAATAGCTCCTGGAAGTTAGGTGTGGGGGCAACTTCCTTCAGGCCAGGCTGCCAGCCAGCACCCAAGTCTAGGGTAGGGTGGGGCTGTCTCCACTTTGTATTGCAGGCTTGGGTGCCACCTGCTGGTGTTTCCCAGTACTGCAAACCACATTTTCAAGAGTTCAAGGTCATCCCAGTGGGTGGTCCAAGAACTGCTCACCAAAGGCTTTCCGAGGCTCTGTGAGTTTGAGGGTGAAGGTGCGGCCTCGGGGCAGCTCCTTGAGGAGCCTGGCAACTTCATAGTGCCGACAGCCCAGCAGGCTCTGCCCGTTGATGGCTTCAATCATGTCACCCACGCTGATGAGCTGGATGTGGTCTATCACACTGCCTTCCTTGATGCGCTGTGGAGGGGCAGGCATCAGCCCTGGAAGCTCCACTTTAGGTCCCATGACAGACCCTGACCACTGACTAAGGGTGTGCCACCCACCCGGGCACCTTAATGAAGGCATAGCCGGCCCCATTGTCGGTGATGGTGAGCCCCAGCGCCTCCTCAGACTTGAACACTTCCACCTCTTTGCGCTGCCCCTTGACGTGGGCAAAGATGAAGTCCTCCAGTCCGATCTGGCCCCCTAGGAGCTTGTCCATATCCACTTTATGGGTGTTGAGGGTGCAGAACATCACCTGCAGAGGTGGGGCGAGATGCTCATCCCCCTCCTCCGGGGGGTCCCCTTTCCTAACACTTGGGAGAGGAGGGGAGTTCGGAAAAGATACCTATCCCAGGGCTTGGTGATACCCAGAGCCAGGGCAAGGTCCACTAGTACATCAAATGTTATGGGTAGGATCTCTGACCTGGTAAGAACTCAGTACTAGCCTGGTACACAGTGAGCACTCAATAAATGCTGAGGAATGAATGAAGGAGTCTAGATTCCCACCCAGCCTTCCACCTGCCTCCACTCGATGCTCAGCCCCACTGTTACCCTCACTGTGGCTTCTCTGCTTCTGTCTTGGGGTCATGCCTCCAGTGCATCATGGAGAAATATGAGCAACTCCCATAGTGCTCTAGGGCACAGGCCTCCTAATGCCTCATAGAAATCCAGCTCCCACCTGTGGCCATCAATCCCCCGCAACCTACCAGGCTACTCCAGACATGATGGGAAATCAGCACCTGCACCTCCTGCCCCCCACAACCTACTAGGTTACGAGCC